AGTTCTTCCTTTAAATGACATTTCTCTAGCTTCGCATACTCATTCTTCCTATTTGCAAGAGTTTTTAGCTCAATAATTTCACAGTAATTATTTCACATCTATAGTTCGTTGGTTTTAGTTCCAAAATATTTTTGTCTTTGTCTATTCTAAAGATTTATGTCTTGTTTTTGCTCATTGTCTGTTTTCAGAAAACTGTAAATATCAAATTTTTTCTTCATTTGCAAAATTTGTTCATCAATTTATTGTTTAATACAGTTTTCATTATAGAAAAAAAAATATTTATATATAATGAATTTTATTCGCTTATCAGAAATTTTTGTTGCATTATTTGCCATTTTTTGTCATCGCTTATTCTTTGCTAAACTATAACAATAAGGAATATTTCTTCAATATTTTTTATAAATGACAAAAATGATCAAGTAAAACCACAAATTTTTTTAATAAAAATTTTTATTTTATGGGGATAGAATGGCTTAGTGGGTTGTTGCTCAATTGGAGATGCCAATGTTCGATTCCCAGCAGGAATAAACCTGTACAAAAATCCGGGTGATGCCGCCGACTCACCTGTATTTCTGCCTATATCGCCAAGGGGCGTATTGTTTAATTGCGACAAGCCAGTGGAGCGAGTTTAACCAATAATGGTGAGGACTCTTGAAAAAAAAGCCTTTAAGGCTTCTTTGCTATACTTCCTTAATATTTTTCACTTATTTTTTAATAGTATTCAAAATATTAATGAAAAAAAGAAATAAACAACTAATTTAGTTTGTAAAAGTTGAAATGTTAATGGATTTTTTGAAAATATCGATAAATAAAAATTTTCTTCCTTATTTTCGACATTTTTTCTTTCTTATTTCATAAATATTTTTTAAATAGCAAATTAGTTAGCAAATAAATTAAATCAAACAATCAATGCAAAAACCGGTCGAAAAATTTTTCGGCTCAAAATTATCCTTTAAGCCAACGTTTATTTTATTTTTATAATTTTTCATTTCTAAAAATTAATTTCAATTTTCGCATTTTCTTTCAAAAAAAAAGTTAAATTGAAATTTAATCGATTTTAGGAATTTGAATTTAAATATTTTGAATAAATTAAATTAAAACGTTTATTCATTAAAAAAATATCTCCAAAATTATTAAATGAATTTCTTGAAATGCATTATATTCAATTTAATTTCGAACTTGAAATTTTTGATAATTTTAGGTGAAAAATGTGAAATGTAAAAGATTTTGAAGAAAATTAAACAAAAAAAAAAGATAAATTCAATAATAGAAATTAATGGAAATTCAATAAATAACAAAAATGGAAAAGCGTAGTGATTAAGAAAACGATTCGAATCGCAGACAATCCTCTCTATTTTTCCAGAGGGGAGTACTTCGCCGAGGTTGAAGGTGACCCATACTCACCTCCTAGGGGTGAGAATGGGTTTCGCACCAGAATTTGCACCGCAGTGATTAAGGAAAATATGAAATGTTACAACAACGGTTCGAATCCTTATGAGAAAACTGGAGAAAATTTATAGGAAATAATTATAAATGAATTTTTTCACTTTATGGTAAACAATAAACATCATTGTCATATTTACAACTGTTACGGTTGTAATTTTTTTTTTAATAAAAGATATTTGTGTCATACAATTTGGGCGCCGAATTTCGCGATTTTGTCTATATTCGCGATTTTTGCTACATTGGTTTAATGGGGCAAATTTGGCGGAATTCGCGAAATCTGATGATGCTAAGCAGACCAAAAGAATTATTTTATTATTATTTATTTATTATTTTATTATTATTATTTTTATTTAATATTATATCATTAATAGAAATTATAATTTGGAAAATTTTTCATAAAATATAAACTGTAAAGTATAATATTTATATTTTTGAGTAGTAAATAAATATTTCTTCCGTATAATTTTTAATATGAAACGAAGCATCATTGCACATATGAAAAATTTGACTAAATTTGCTTGTAGCTTAAGGGCGAAGGAGGTATGTATTGGTACTATTTGGTACTTCGAACCTTCCAGAGGAAAGAGAGTGGCCGCCTAGGAACCATTTTCAATCCCCGTGAAACTCGAAGCTCAATTATTCTTTCAAATTTTTTAAATATTTTTGTATAAATAAAATTTTAGCTATAATAAATTTTAGTGAGATGGATTGTATTCGTGTCTTTTAATTCTATAAAAGGGTTACCCAAATGCAATTCACCTTATCTCCCTACAGTTTAATGTTCGAGTGCCACAGCTCCAACGAAAGTCTTTCAACCTAGTGCAGTTTGCAGTGATCAGAAATGGTATAGAATGGTGCCGATAGTGAGCAGTAGAAAAACTATGGTGAAAATTTTAGCCAAGGACAATTTTTTCTTTTTTCGAGGGAAAATTTTATTTTTAAATAATTTTTTAATCGAAAAATTTTTCGTATTCATTCGTCAAATTTCGATTTATAAAATAAATTTAACGTTTTCATTGTAAAAATAAAAAAAAGAACTTTTTTATTTTAAAAAATTCCAATTAATGAATTTTTCTTTTTATTGAATTCTTTTTGTGAAAAATTAAAAGATTCTCGAAAAAACTAAAAAATCGTTGAATTAACGATGAATGATTTTCATTAACGATTCAATTATATTTGCTTTTGATCACTTTTTTTTGATGATAAATAGTACCAACTATACTAATTTCTTATCAACTGGCATACTCTCTATCAGTTTTTATCACTCAAATTCTTTCTCTCATGAAGATTTTAGCTGATACTATCTTTTCCTTTTTCTAATATTTTTTTTTATTGATATATAAAATCGTTTTTTTTTTTGCTGGAAAATTTGAAAATTCAATTTTTGCCAAATATGACACCAGTGAAACTTATAGATAAGTGGCAATAGTTCTCGAGATTTTCAAAGCAAAAATAATTTTCATAGGTCTACGATATTATTTTCACAATATTCAATTCGCATAAAACATCATCAATCAATCTTTTTCACTGTCTTCGAAGGTAAATTTTGAGAGCTTACTTTAGTAAATTATATATGCATTTTATAAAGGTGCCACCGGTGTCCGCCCTTTTCGTTTTGCAAATTGACCGTTTTTCGTATAAAATTTTTATATTTCATTGGAATTTTATTGGTTTCGTGTTTCAACATGCAATTACTTTTTATTTTTAAATGGCTAAATTTTGACATTTTAAAAATATAAAATCTTTTTTAAATTTCAAATATGGTAGATATCGATAGAAATAATCGATAAAAACAAATAAATAAATAAAAATAAATGTTCTTACAATGTTTTTCTCAATAATTTTGATTTAAAAACTCATTCAATGGAGTACCCAATAGAAAAAACCTAAACTCACCAGCTTAAGTTGTTATAATTGAGCATTTGGTGGAAAAAAAAGAACCATGTGGCACCAGAAATCTATCGATATTAACGTTAACTGGTGAATCTATGAAGAAAATGCTTGTCTAATACGCGTGCTTTTCCGAAAATCCTTAACCACTAACTAATACCAAAATATAAACAATGAAATGTTTTTAGCTTACAAAATATTAAATTAAAACTTTGTCTAACTTTAATGAGAAATTTTTCGCTAATAATTTGTTAAAATCTTTGTTAATGATTTTGATTGTTAATGATTAATTTTTTTTTCATTTTGTATAATTAAATTAGAGAAATTCGAATTTTTTTTATTCATTTTTTATTCATATTTTTGATAAAATTTTATTTTATCAAAAAAAGATTATCTTTAAAAAATTTGCAATAAATATTATTTACGATAAATATTATCTAAAATAATTTTTAATGGAATATTTTATCAGTCAAAGATTATTTATGAGAAGCTTTTTTATTTTGCTAAACGAGAAGTGATTGGTGATAATACATTTTTCTGTTCTACAAAACTCAAACAACACTGATAATTTTTGAATGAATAAGCTCTTATTTTTTTCTTCAAAGTAACTCCTTTAAATAGCGTTGTTTTCCAAATAAAAGAATTCTAGATAGATAAAAAAAAGTTCAACAAATTAGCAAAACTAAACTATTCTCTATTCTTTTACCATCAAGGGACTCCTTGGCATGTGTCCAGTGTGATAAGCCAGCTGAGTGAGTCTAACCAGTAATGGCGGGTGCTCTTTTGTTCGGAATCAATTCTCTAAAATCTTACGTATTCTGAACGAATTATAAATAATCATTTCTGCAATATAATAGTTAATAATAATCATAATTAATAAATAATAATGGCTGATGATAATAAATAATAGCAATAATGACTGATAGATAATAATTAATAATAATAATAATAATAATAATAATAATAATAATAATAATAATAATAATAGTAATGGTAATAATAATAACAATAATAATAATGGTAATAATAATAGTAATAAAAATGAAAAAATAACAAAAACATATAATTATTTTCACTTATAAAATCGCTTTTAATTAATTTTGCCCCATTTATTTTGCGGGCAAAAATAAAAATTATAAAATTTCTTTTCATTGCAGAATGAATTACCATTATAATATTGTCATTAAATTTTATTAAATTTGATTTTAGTAAAATTACTTATTAAATTTATTAATTAAATTATGAAGATTAATGACAAATAACAAAAATTTACTTACACAAATTCTTTTTCTCTCACCACAAAACTTTCATCGAAAAATCTCGCTGGAGACCATCTGCGACCTTTCGCCCCCACCCCTCTTACCCGCCCCCTCCCCCCTCCCCCCTTCAATCATCCCACCTAACCCTAAATTATCATCGTCATCGAATTCTATGTTTACTTAGCTAATAATCAGTTTCGTTCGCGCGGCTGCTGTTTAGACAACTAAATTGCAGTTTTGAAGAAATTTCAAAATGGGTAAATTCAAAAAAAAAAATTTTAACGATGAATAATTTTCAGTGAATTGGTTCGCCTCGTAATTGGCGTGAAGGAAAACAATTCTTTTTTCTTTTTTATTTTTCTTCTTTAAAAAAGAGAAAAAATATATAAAAAAATTAAAGAACGAATGGCTTTAAGCGCGAAAAGTAAACACGCAATTCACGTAATTTTATTTATTTTATGGTTATTTCTATTTGAAATTATTTGTGGCGCTTTACCGTTTTCATACGAACGACAATTTATCGATAATCAAACATCGCCAATTCAGAGGTTTTTTCACTTTTAATTTATTAAAAATTCTTTAAAATTTCGAAATTTTTTTTTATTTTATTTTTAATTTTTTTTTTAAAAATTTATTTATAAAAATTTAATTTTTTTTCTCTGAAATTTTAAAATTTTCTCAAAAATTTTTTCGCATTTTGATGATTTATTTTTTCTCGTTTTCTTTCACTGAAATTAATTAGTTGGTGATTCATTGAATTTTTTTTCGCTATTTTAAAAGAAAGAAAACGAATTTTGATTGAATTATAGCTACAGTCGTTTTTTGATTTAATTTAGCATTGGGGGAAAATAGAAGCACCGGAGGACCCCTCTGGTACCACTCGAATTTCCCTTTCAAAATAGTAGACTTAGTTCTACGAAGTAACACTCGTTGAATGTGTCGTAATTGATGTATAGAAGCACCGGAGGACCCGCTCGTGTTATTCGAATTTCCCTTTCAAAATAGTAGACTCATAGACTCGTTAAATGTGTCGTAGTTAATTGATATTTGAATTCTTTGAAATCTGCACATTTTTTTCCATTGATTTTAAGATTTGGCTTGAAAATTATAATTTAATAATTATATTTTTTGTCGAACAAGACAAATCATTTGGTTGATTTTGTCGATTAAATCGTTTTATAAGAAAGTAAAAATATAACTGTGTGTGGAGAAAGAATTATACACGCCAAAATTATTTACTGTTAATTATTAAAATTATTAAAATTAAAATTATTAAAATATTTAATTATTAAAATTATTTGTATAAATTGAATTCCGTTAAAATCTCATAAATACTTGTAAAAGACCTTGAATAGCATTATTTGCATATTTATCTCAGAAGCGTATTATTATTACTTTTAACTCCTCCAAAAACCAGTTCTATAATTCTCTGTCAAGATCGTTTAAATTCTTTCTGAATTCCTAGGTCAGTTGTGGACATCCAGCATATCTCTTTAACGCCACTTTTGGTATAATCGTAAATTGCAAAGTCGTAAAAAGTAATAAAGTGGATAATGGATTATTATGGGAATGCAAAGAAAAAGAAGAAAATGAGTGTTAAGAGAGTATAAAAATGAAAATTGTTGAGGAAGTAGTGCAGGAGGAGAATATTAGCGGAATATTGGGGAGCTTTGAGGCAAACTCAAGGAGATTTCGGCACATATATTCGATTTACCCAGTTCTCTACTCATAGGGCAATTCTTTTTAGTTTTAGTTTTAGTCATTTAATAATCATCTCATTTTTATTTTTACTACTTATTTTTTATTTTTTCTGATAATTATTTATTTTTTTTAAATTCCAATTTTATAGGTATGGCTACTTGGGTGCATTTCTGCTATACGCGCTACGAATTGCTTCATTATTGGCTTTACCACAAACAATTTTTAATACGCTCGGGTTGATATTTTTTAATGGTTTTAAAGAGAAAGTGAAACTAAAAGCTTCACCACTTTTAGCGCCATTCATTTGTTTTCGTGTTGTTACTCGTGGCGATTATCCTGCACTTATAAAGGTTTTTCTATTTTTAAAAAGTGATTGATTTTTTAGTTTATTCAGATTATTTTTGGTTTGAACAGATTGAACTGAACTATTGTTTTGTTGTTGTTTAGCGTTATTTATACAATTAACACTTTGATTGCTATTTTGATAGCTCTAAAATACTTTAATATTCGCTGTTCATCCATAGTTTTATTCACGTTTGCAGCCTATAATTTGAATAGAATTTTTTTTCATTTGAAAACAATATATTCCTAGCAATTGCGATGAAAAAAATTTTTTTTTTTGCAGAAAAATCTTCATTATAATATTGAAATTTGTCGAGAAGCTGGTATGGAAAATTTCTTTTTTGAGGTGGTCAGTGATAAGCCTATTAATTTGCCAACTCTGTCGAAATTACGTGAAGTTGTTGTTCCTTCTTCATATAGGTAAAATTTTTTTAAAATTGTTTTTCTTAATTTTTTATCATCATTTTCATACTATGTTAGATTTTCATAGAAATAACTATAAATATAAATATTGCATAATATTTATAATAATGCAATATATTGCATAATATTGAGGGAAGTGTAAAGAATTTTGCAGCAAATCCCGTTTTGGTTTTCCTGTTTTTGAAATTTAAAATTTCCCGTTTTCAGTTAAAATATTTCTCATTGTCGTTTTAGTTTAGGACTAAAAGTGGTGCATTATTTAAATCACGTGCATTACAATACTGTCTTGAAGACGATGTTAATATTTTGCAAAACAATGATTGGATCGTTCATCTGGATGAAGAAACTTTATTGACTGTAAACTCGGTAAACTAACTAACTGTTTTATACATCGTGAATTTATGATAGGATAAGTTAGGATATTTTTAAATTTCGAAATATTTTATCTGAAATTTATGACCCTTTTTCTTAGGCCTTATCCTTGTAATTTATTTTGAATTTAAATCGCTTATTTGATCGCTTTAGGTTTGTGGTATATTAAATTTTTGTGAAGATGGTAAGCATCAGTTTGGTCAAGGTGTCATTACTTATGCTAACGGCGAAATTGTAAACCTAATTACTACATTATCAGATTCATTGAGGTATGATTATCGTAAGTGATTGGATCATTTTAAAGATTTTCTTAGCTGGATTTAGGAATTACAGGAAGCATTTTTTATGGTGATTGCAATAAAATTTTGGTATCCATAGATCAGCAGAAACATTTTTTTACAGTAAATTTTATAAAGGGCGCATATATAATTTGCCGAAAAATTCTAAAAGATCTGTGGTTTATAGATTAATTAAGAGATGATTGAAGGAAAAATAGATGCAATACTTCTTAATTTTCGCAATACTCTTTTGTCTTTGTACAAAACTTTTTAGAGTAGCTGATGATATGGGTAAATTGCGATTTCAGTTTCATTTCTTCCATAAACCACTTTTCGGTTGGAAAGGCTCTTTTGTTGTTGCACAGGTAGCTTATACGAATTATCTTCAGTAAACTAGCGAATGCAAATAAAAAGTCAAAATCAAAGCTAATTTGTCAAAATCTTTTTCATAGTCTTTTCTTCCTGAATTTTACATGCTTTCTGATTTCTATTGTGCTATAAATTTCGCTGATATTGGTAAGAAATTCCACATAATTCAATTCATTTTAGGTTAGTGCGGAAAGGAAAGTTACTTTCGATCATGGTAAAGAAGGTTCAATTGCTGAAGATTGTTTTTTTAGCATGATTGCTTATAAATATGGATATACATTCGATTTTATCGAAGGTTTGTTCGTACATAAATGAGCAGAATTTGTTGATTTGTATTATAAATAGAATTTTTTTGCAGAATTAAAGTTATCCAGTTATTAAAAATTTAATTTTTTTGGTTATCATGAAAATTGGTGGATGAGTAAAGATCTTTTTTATAGATCTGTTAAAATTACAGTGGTTTTTCAGCAAATATTTTTAATAGTTTCTAGGTGAAATGCACGAAAAAAGTCCATTCACTTTCATGGATTTTTTGCAACAGCGGAAAAGGTGGCTACAAGGTATATATCTGACCGTTCATTCCAAGCGGATCCCTATTACAAAAAAGGTCCTATTTCATTTATTTCTTAGCAACTTAAATTCAGCTTACAATCGTATAATAGAATTCATAATTTTTCTATTGTAATAAAGAAAAAGAAATATAAATGCACAATTTTTCATCTATTTTTAACATTAATCAAAAATCTTGAGCTTTTATTGCTTTTATTACAGATTTTACTAGCTTTATCTTTCTATGCTTGGGCAACGATGCCGTTCACCTCATTACAACTTTACTTATTTCACTCTTTTCCACTTCCCAAATGTTTTATTTTTGATTTTATGGTTGGTTTCGTCGCTGCAGTTATTCTTTATATGTATATCTATGGTGTTATCAAGAATTTTTCAAATAAATACAAGTAAGCTTTTGGTCTATTAAAACTTTTGTATATTTTTATTTATTGATTTATTTTTTATTTTAATTTAATGTTCAAAGAATTATTTCATTTTCATTTATAAATTTCATTTTTTCATTTTCATTTTCATTTTCCGAGTTTTCATTTTTCTACGAAGATTTTGAAATTTATTTTAATAATTTTGATTACTAAATAATTTTATTTTTTTGATTTGCTTTGAGGTTTGATAAAAATTAAAAGAGAATAAATTTTCAGGAAAAATCCTTTACGGCTTTGCTTATATTTGGCTTGTGTTCTACTCATAATACCTTTCAATGTTTTAGTCGAAAATTTAGCTGTTATATGGGGAATTTTTTCGCATAAGAATAATTTCTATGTTGTTAAAAAATATGTTGAAACTTCACAGTACATTGCAGAATGTTGAGTTTATTAATGATGGTATGTTTCCATGTGCATTTCTTCATTTTATGATCATATTAACGGGTGATTCCTAATTATTTTATGTAAAATTTTATTGAAAGGAAATTTTTTAGAAAATTTTCTTCATCTCATTTTATTGGGTGTAGAAATATGAATTTCTTGTATGTGTATGTAATAGCAATTTTATTTTTATTTATGAATTTGCTTTGGGAAAAAATTTTACCCCGATAAATAAATTCTAAGGAAATCGTGGATTTTTTTTTATCGTTTTAACTTATCAATAAGTGGAATTGTTCTAGTGCAATCGCAATGCCTTTTTATATTATATTGTGATTTTTTTTTATAATATTTGGCAAGTTGGATTAGCAAATTTTTAGTAAAACTTTTACAAGTCTTCTGTTTTACTACCTTCGGTGTTTTTTTCGAGATGATTGGCTTTCAAATGATGTATCCTTAAAAATTTTATAAATAGGTTTCTGTTTTTTTCGTTAATTTTGAATCTTTTAGAACTATAAAACTTGTAAAGATTCTTAACATTGCTGCGTAATATTATTTATTGTCTTCCAGTTATAACTGCCACTTATTCTGCCAGCTATAACTGCTTTACTTTTTTAATGTGTATATCGTAAATTTTATCACATACTGACCTAATTTCTTTGCATGCGCCCATCTTTATTTTTTTTCAGTCTTACTGAATCTTATTTACTACATTATTCAATTAGTAAGAAAGCAAAAAAATTAATCAAAAACATTTGATAAGCATTTTTTCCATTTTATAATTCATTATTATATTGGAAATTTTTTCATTTTTAATGAATTTTTTTCTCCAGAACGAATTTGTCGATTGATTATAGCAGTGATAGTGATAGAAGTGCATTTATTATCAGTTATTCTTAAATAAATAAATAAATAGGTGCGAAATTTTTTTCGAACAAAAATTTCGTGAACAGTTTATTTTTTTAATATGAATATGAAAACTTTATTACCAGATAATTTTTTGAATATTGGAAATCAGGAAATGATAAAAATGATAATTTTTTAGGAATTATATACTTAACAATTGATGCATCTTGATGTTCCATACTTTTGCTCAATTTTACTGATCTCAATTATAATTAATTTTTAAATTTGCATTATTCATTTAATTATTCTCGATGATTATTATTCGCAGTGAAAAGCGTTTTAAACGCGAATGATTTGAAATGATATCATTTAATGGGTAAAATTAGATTTTTTTTTTAAGATTTTAAATTTTTATATTTTTTTTTCAATAGTTATGGACTTGGAAATCATTGGAATTTTTTTTCATTTTTCTTCCAATAAACGAATCTAAATTTTTCAAAAATCTTCGAGTTATACTTTTCTTGGTGATAAAAAAGTTTTGTAAAAATTTTTTTAACGAATATTTATTTTTGTAAAAATTTTTTAAATTTTTCAATATTTTTCTGAATTTATTTTAAACCATTAAAAATCGTCGAAAAATTAGCGATCAATCGGTTGATTTATTTTTTGTTATTTGGTTCTAATGTAAAATTAAATTATTGAAAAATTTTGTATTTGTATTTGATTTTTAAATAATTTTCATTGGGAATTTTATTAAACTTGAAATTTTTTTTCAGAAAAGAAATTGTAGATTTTTTTTTTTGAATTACTATTATAATTATTAAACTCGAATCGTTTTTTTGAGATTTTAATGTAGAAGGAATGTTTATCCTTCGAATGATTTACAAATTTCGGTAGAAATTTCAATTTTTCTTTTTTTCCAAGAAAAAAAATTTTCCACTTTTTTATGAAATTTTCTATATTTAACATTTTCGTTAAAACCGTTCGTGTCTTCATTTATTCCATTATTTTTCCATTTTTCTTCTTATTTTTGCTTTCATAAAAAAATTTTTTTTTACTCATATCGCCTTCGTTAAATCATCGCCTTTAAATATTTTTATTCTCTTATTATTGCTTTTATTTATTTTTTTTTTTTTTTTTACTGATATCGTTTTAATTCAGTTGATTAAATTTTATTTGTCTTTTGGTATCGGATTGAATCGGTTGCATCGAAGTGGAAATAAAGAAATTCATTCATATTTTAAGCTAAAATTATTGGTTCCATTCGCCAAGCGTAAGGCATCTTCGAGCCGCTCGATCCGATATCCAATATCATGGCTGAACCGCAAAAGAAACCGCTTCGTTTCCCATCTAGTCACCTAGGTTTTAATTATCAAAAGATAATTATCCCATCGTCTGAGCATTATCGTTGGGCCGTCTAGGCCACGGATTTTATCAAAATATCAGTCTTCATTAAATCTATCTATTGTTTTGCGGATAATGGAATTTTTCTATAAAATTCGTGAAATGAGAATTAGAGGCATTTCTTTGTACGATTTGAATGCTTCTTATATTTTATTAATAATAATATTATTATTGTTATTATTATTTGTTTATTATTATTGTTGTTTTCTTTTTTTTATGTGATTTAATGGAATAATTTTTTGTAGCCTTATTGATTTTTTATACATTTAATAATTACAATAATATTTAAGTTTATTTATTTTATTTACTTCTTTAACAGAGGGATCAGCCAGAGATTTGCTTGTGCTTGAATACCTACAATAAAAAAAACAATACAGAGCGGGGATAACATAAGACTAATACTTGGAAATTTTATTTATGAATGAGGAGGAAATTGTTTATAAAGAATGTTTTCAAAAATTTGTCGATATTATCAATGTTTTATCAATTAATATGTTTTCATACACTGATAACTGCAAAATGTATTCTATATTCGGAATATCAGAGAATCCATTGTTATAAAAACTATTAACAAGAAAGATAATAGAGGATGTAAATATATGTTATCAACAGTATAGGGTGGGTCTGTTTGAAATTTATTCTAAACCTGGATATGATAGCTTCTCGGTTGCTCGGCTTCATCTATGGTATATGTTATTTTAATGATAATTGCGATGATGGTTCCAATGATAGAGCCAAAATTGTTAAGGTGTTCACAGTTCATTTAAGTGAATTAGGACTGCTTAATCGTTAATTTACAATAAATTTTGTGATAATAAAATTTTATCACAAATAAAAAGAAAAAAATATTTTCAAATATTTCAAAAAGAGAAATAAAATTTTTTTTTGAAAAAATTATTAATAAATAATAAGTAAAAAGTATGGAAAATGGGAATAAGCGACAATAACAAAAATTCAATTTTCTTCAATTTTCCTACAAATTTTTCGTTTGCAGTTTTTCGTTAAATTCATTCCACTGGTTTATTGGACCAGAAAATTTTGCCGTTTATTGGACCAGAAAATTTTGCCATGGAATCAGATAGCGATAGAAAGTAGAAATAAGTCGTCACTATAAATATCTGTAGAAATATCATTTATTTATGCAATTGCATTTAAAAAAACCCAGGCAAATTGAATAATTTAAATAATATTAGCGAAACTAAAAAAAAGACAAATCAGGCTGAGTAAAGGAATATTAAAAAGGTTGCAACGGTACTCCATTGGTGGTACCATGAGTAGTGAAAAATCGGTTTGCTGGAACAATGAGGTGAAGAATTCATCAGGCAATCTTATTTTCGAAATGATTCCGCAGAAACATAAAAGCAAAACCTCATTAGCACCAATTGAGGACCCCATGCGAGACTATCGCAGTTTCATTCGAGACTATCGCAGTTTCATTTGGCTTTCGCGCAAAATTACTAAATATTTTTATCAGCAATTGACATTAGTGCTACAGTTGTTCGTACACGCAATCGAGAGATGCTTGTTTTTTTCATTTTTTTGCGTGATATTTGCTGCTGTTGTTCTTATCACGTTGGTTGCCACTTCTTCAAATCGTTTAGAAAAAAAAATGATTAGCTGCAAATCCATTATTTACATTGAAAACTTACGATAGAAATATCGTTATAACTGATACTGATAACGATGATAATAATGGCAATGGCACTACAATCGACGCTATATCTTCCATATTTGTAAACGAAAAATATTTTCCAACCCAATATAAAGCTGGTGATATTTCCAAATGATTTAGGCAAATTTTATCTGATAAGCCATAGGGATGAGTCTAATCAAAAGTGGAGAGCGCTTTTAGTGATAATTTGTTGGATTTCACTTGGCAAGAAAAACTAATGAAATACTTAATACATTTGTTTATTATTTATTATTATTATTTATAATTATTTACCTAAAAATTATTGAAGATTTGCAAATTTATGCAAATTTTTATACGCTAATAAAACTCGTATTTCATTAAAAGTGATAATGAGTTGATAATTTAGGTAAAGTTTTTCGAAAAAAATGCACTTTCGTAGATGAAAATTTTTAGCGCCCGCTAATATCAGAAATTTTATGTAGAAATCTGTATAGTCATGGTTTCTCATCTTCCCTGCCGTGACAAATATGAGTCATTAGATGGTCAACGACAGTTGCCAGTAAATTGGATTGACCCTTAGGGGTTATCTGCAAAACTCTAATATACACTGAATCGAATCGAAAAGAAATATTATTCGTTGGGCATTTTCTGAATTAAGAAAAAACTTTCAAATGCAAAAAAATAAGCACTTTCAAAATGATAAAATGATAATGATAATAATAAATGATAACTTGATCAGTTCTGATGCAATTGCTACAACTTATTGCAGTTGAAGTTGCTAATATAATTAATTTAAATATGCATTTAAGTGGAACACAAAATCTCACATGATTGCATCTGTCTTCGTTCAAATGCACTAATATTACCGTTACGAAACGTCGTATTCGCTGGGCTAGAGCACATTCTTCGCTACTCCCCTTCACCCACCACAGGAGTTGAAACATATTTCGTTATTTAATCAATCATGTGATGGATGGCGTCAAAAGCGAGATGGACCTATCAAAACCTGGACTGATACAGTTAGGAACGATTTTGAATGTAGGGATGGAGCAGCGACATATGGATTTATAGAATGGAAAAAGGAAAAACTTCTATTAACATCGACGATGGCATCGGATCAAACAGCTTGAAGATAACTTACCGTTGTAGCCAGCGGAGCCAAGCAGTGATGATGAGAACTATTAGAAGAAGAAAAAGAAGTGGCCAGGACCATTGCTGAATTGGCTCGCTGCACTGGCGACTATGGTAAAATGCTTCCAAGGCTCCCGAAGTCCATTCCTGAAAAGGATTGAAAACACTTCTTTTCCCACCATTTAAGCCCGTTTATTGATTGCTATGCCGCTATGCGTTATAAATTAATTCCTTCCTCCTTCTTCCCCGTCGTATTGGAACATATGTTGATTGCTCTTCTTCGATGTCATTGAGCAAATAATCAAATGACTGTTCCGCTGATCGGCAGCGAAAACCATGGCCTAAGAACCAGCGCAAACGAGCTACTGTACTAGTATAATTAATAGATGCTTCTATTTGTCTTTTAACGAAAATACCTAAAAACTTGATAATATGAAATTCGTCTGGGCCATAATAGTTCGTTAAATCACTCAGCATATATTTATTTGGTTAATTTTTCGCACTTCGTCGTGAAATGGTGAAAGCAAAAGGCTACTTGAGGTCGTGAAAATGGAAAATGGATTTTAATTCGTTGAGAACATATCTAACTGCTGACTCGAACCCATTTTCTATTTTCATAACACCTCAAGTAGCCTTTTGCTTTCGCCCGTTTTGCGATACGTCTAATATATAAGAAACAAACTTATTTACTTAAATTCATCCATTTATTTAATTAATTTTTCTCGTAATTTTATTTCATGCATGAAATATTTTCACGAACCTAAATAATTCCAATTTCTCCTATGCTTATAGTTTTGTTCTATTTTTGTGTCAATTTAAATTAATATTTTTTTCATTCAATTTAACACTTTAAATCTTTCTCAACTTAGAACATTTTCCTAACTTAATCGAATATTTTTACTATTTTCGTTCAATTTTATCGCTAAATTAGGAATATGAATCTGCCTACGCCGTATGAATACCACTTGAGTTTGTTGCCATTGAGCCAGGATTAAATTAGAAGTAAAGCGAAAGCCAACCATTCCTATCAGTTTTTTTAGTTAATTTTACATTCATCAGAAAAAATTATTGACAAATTTTGCAATTTCAAAGATTAGAACTGCTATCAAACAATCGATAAATCATAAGCGGAATGATGAGACAATCGCTCAATCAAGAATTTTCTTAATACTGGGCAAAAAATGATGGAATGATGGTTTAATCGATTTACCGCAAGCCAGTACCACATTATTATTAAATACCAAAACTTGATAAGACTTATTTAATTTAAAATATCGCGATTATAATAAATATAAATACTACTAAATATGCGACATCTTATTTGTATGTATGTAGAAAACGGTTTCTCTTACAGGTTTAAGTTCTTTTTTCGGATAACAAAACTGAAATCAAAAAAATGTAATGAATGAAATAAAAAAACCAATTAAACCTTTTTTTAAACCTTTATCACTCCATTTCAAGAGTTTTAATTTACATTTTAATTTATCATTTCTTTTTTGTTTTGCTCTTCATATCTACTATCACTTTATAATTGACATCGAATGAATAAATCAGCTTTCGTATGAAGGAAAACCTAATACACGTAAAGTACCACCACTTGAAACTGTGAATATCCGATGCGTATCCAAACATAAAGCCATATCTAATATTCCTTCACCGCCTCCAAGCAACTCCTCAAATACCCAACTCTACAGTTAAATAGATAGTATATAGATAATTTATTATAATTTTTGAAAATTGAATATAATTTCGGATATTTTCTAAAATCGCTTTTAGCCTTATTTTTAAAAAAAGAACCTTAGATCCTAAAATTTCACAGAAGGTAATCCGAAAAATATGGAAAAATTTGTTTTTAAATTATAAAAAGTTAAATTATAAAACTTACAAAAACTTTATTGCCACTAAAAACATCCCAAATTCGAATAATTCCATCTAAGCAAGCTGTAATTATTACTTGAATACCATCACTCGTACCAAACCAATGACATTTTACAACAGTATATCCGCCGTGATCACATATATGGCGAATACAACCTCGATTAATATCATATATTATCAGAAAGCCATTATTAGTACCAACTGCAATCCATATGTCTTTGAAACAGGAAAACTGAATACATTCCACAGAATACGAAACAGTTTCATCAAAGATTTGTTCATTAACCTAGAAATAATCGATTTAAATCATGAACTACGATGATATTCCGTTCTAGATGGAAAATAAAGATTCAAATAAAAATAGAAATATTGAAAAAATATTGAAACATACCTTCTCAGTTTTGCAAGCTTCAGCAGTGTTTAATAACCTCATCACTTTATCTTTTTCGGTATTGATAATAATACATTTTCCATCCTGACCACCAATTGCTGCTAGTGGTAATGATTTATGAGCATCAACGCAAGTACATGCCATATCAACTGAAATCGCTGTAGATTTTGGATCCAGCAATGACCATATGCGAACTGTTCCATTCGAAAATGCACAAAGCAACTTAAGCCCGCAACCTAATATCTTTCCTATATTGCTAGAAGTTCCGGAGCCTTCAGCAAAGACCTGAAATATATATAGGAAATGCGAATAGAAAAAGATGAATGAAAAGAAGATGAAGAATGATGAAAATTTTAAAAATTAGAAATGATAAAACATTAATAAAAAAAATTTTAGATTAAAAACCATTGATAAAACTGCTAATCGAGAAAAAAGTGTGGTATATTCATAAACCAAGTTTTATAAATATGTTAAGAATCCTACGATCCTTGACAATTTTTCTAAAGTTTTCAAGAAAAATGGTACATCCATTCATTCATTCATTCATTCCAATTTAGTCTCATTTGTTTTTAATAAAAAGTAAATTTCATTGAAAAAATAGTCAAGACCAACTCTAACTATTGAAACCTCGACTTGACTAACAGAAAACTCCCATATAATGCCATTACTAGCTCCTGCAAAGAGCACATCCGCTTCTTTATGCCAATCAAGCCATTCCAGTTCACTGCATTCATTGATCTGAGTACATATACATTATGATGCTTCATGAAATCTCGCTACAAAGACAAAACATGAGCAATAAATCGATTTGAATCATATAATAAAATCAAATGAAATGTTTCATATTTCACTTACCTCATGAATACACATTAAATGTGAGGTATCAGTGATTATAATTTTCCCTGACATATCGCCTGAAGCCAAAAACATTCCCGATGAATTAAAGCGCACATAAATCACTGAATCGACATGATCAGTAATGCGTAGGATCGGTTCAATATCTAAAAGAATCTTTTTGCATAAGCGGTGATAATTTATAATTTCCTTTCTTTATTATAACCTATAATTTCAAATTCGCTTATAAATTTAATCTCACATAATCCGAAAGAAAACTAAGAAAAAAAGGCTTAATTATTATTAATTCATATCTAAAATAGAAAAGGAAATATCACCGAAAATATCTAAGTCGAAAAGTAATGCACAATCATCTTCTCCACCAGTTGCCAACCATTTACCGCGAAAACAATCAACGCAAAATGCGTCTTTCGTGTGGGCGCTTATTTTCAGATCTGCATTATCGCTCGCATTATCACTTTCCATTGAATCAGCCATTTCAATAGAAGCCAAAATATTATAAATTTAATTACTAAATGAAAAATATGGTTAAAAGACCAAATTCCTCAAAATTCTATCTAAAACTTTAAATCAACCACGAAATATCGTCTTCTCTCCTTCTTCACCTTCCTTCTTCAACTTTTTAACACAAAAAAATATATTCTATTTATCGAGTGGCCGTTTAGTGGTCAAGCTGATTCCACTAATTATCTGGTAAAAATTAGTATTATAAATGATGAAAAAAACAAAATGGTGCTGAAGTTAGGGTTTATTTATTATTATTTTCATTTAAATCTATGCAAATAACTGAAATAATTTCAATACTAAAAATAATAAATCGGCAAAATTACAAAACTTTAAATTTCAGCATAAACCTTAAATTTAATAAATACTAACCTTCACCATTTTCATTTATAGAATCATCATCATCAATGGCATCATTTGGTTCCAACGATATCACTTTGACAATATCATTTGCATTAGGAGTTTCAGGCGGTGAAAATTGATCTTCATCCATGTCACATCCTCAAAAATATATTTTAGAACAGCAAAAATATAAATTTTATGAAAAAAAAACGTTTAACAAATTTTTGCATTTTAAAATAGATCAACTAGTTATAAGAAGCATAAATTCGAGCTTAAAGCGCCTGGGCTCATCCCACATAAACAGTTCATTATAAATTGGTTATTCAACAAACTCGCAAAGTATACTGCTGAAATAGGTTGTACTAATTGCACTGACTGACCAAAATGATGATAATACGAAACTGATAAGCAAAGTGATAAATTTGGAAGAAAGGAAAAATTAATCATTTTCCCTTCTTCCCTTTCGAGTTATCTTCGTCCACCTCCAAACTTCGTCCCACTAATTTACTTGTAATATCCTTTATTATTCGCGTAATCCTTGCCGCAACTCTCTCGGAATTTGCTACATCTCACTATCCTTCTTCAAAATAACGCTATTTCCCTTAATGCTTCGTTGATACTTCTTCTGCCATATCAATACCATTAATATTTTAAATTTGCCTGTGGTATATCTTAGAGGTGATATGATTCCTAGCGAGAATCGAGAACCAAAAACTAGGTTTTGAAGATGTACCACGTACGGGTACCGAAGGGCGAAAATAAAGAGGGGCAAAATGGTTTATCGATGGTTGTTGCTAAGTTCGAAGCATCAAAATTGACAGAAGGAATAAGTCTTCTTTCAAAAATCTCGGTGGTGCTGGTGACTCACTTATAATATATACACCTATCACTATGATTTCCTGGCAAAATTTTATTGGTCCGACGAGTCAGCGGAGAAAGCCTACTCAACAATGACTATTGAAAGAAAAGAATGTCCAAGTTTTGATGTTAAAAAAATACAACAGGTTTCGAGATAATATCAGGGGCAATATGCCAGGGGAAATCTGAAAACAATTATCTACCAGTTTGGCTGAATGACTTCTCTAATAATAACAAATAACCTAGTTGAAAAAACCCCCACCGCCACTCCGCTGACCCTCCATACCCCTTCATTCACCCCCCCCCCACCCCAACCTCCCTCCTGTCCAATCAGACCAACTCATTTTAGCTAGATAAAATTTTTTATGAAAAAAGGAAATTCGTTTCGTTCGTAAGAACCATATTCAAAAATTGCAGCATAAAATTTTTTTTAACCTTTGACCTTGAAAACATTTTCGTGTTCCATTTATTCATAACCTTCTTATCCAACATAGAAACTGGTAGAATATATATCTTTTTTCATTGACCTCCGTAACAGTCAGTGGTGAATCAGTGAGTCCAGCATGAATGGTGGTGAGTTAGTGGGTCTAACTAGAACCAGTGGTGAATCAATAGGTCCATTTTTCGCGTACTCCTTACATTTTAGTTATATAATTTATGGACGATCCTATCAGTCTTATCAGTCCATTGTCACCTAAAATTGCCCTTCGTTTCACGCAGCGACTGTCGACATTTTATCTCCACTTCGCTTTTCACTTTCGCTTTTTTATTTTTTTTCTAGAAATTTCTAGAAAAATCCTTTGAATATACGCAAAAAGAAAGCCGGGTTAATATAAAAAATTCCGAAAACGTTGAGAGCGCGTGAAAGGGGATGTGGAGAAAAGAGAGAGAGAAGGAATGAGCAGTTGGGGGGGGGGGGGGGGGGGGGGGGGGGGGGGGGGGGGGGGAGGGGGAAAGAGGGATAATGTGGAGTGCTTCAGTCATCTTTTATGTTCTTCTATATTGTTTTTTTATTCGCCACGCTTTGGGAAAATATTTTCTATTTTATAGTAAATAATTCTTAATTTAAATTTCTCTCCCTTCTCAATCCGGGAAATCTCTTCCAGAATTCTATTTTTTCCAGAGGCTCCTTTCTTTTAACGAATCCCTTCTTTCTAACGTACAAAACACCTTCTAAGGAACCCCCTTTCTTCTGAGCAATTTTTTTATGTTTCAATGGTACCACCGAGGGTTTTCATGACCCTGCTCGGCTGAAGCTGCTGATTAGTAATTTCATATAGTATCATTTATAGATGTCAGTCGACGCGCCACATTTTTTCATTCACTCAATATCTATTGCCTTTGACCTTTCACCCTTAAGTACCCACAATATTTTAGGATTGCATGATAAGAAAATAAGAGATATGCGTGATCAGAGGAAATAATTATCGTTAAGTAATCATTTTTTAGTCCAATAAAAAAAAGTGTGAATCAGACGCTTAGTAAATGAATCATAATTTTTTACTCATATTTGCTAATCAAATGATGTTAAGCAACGATCAGCTTCGTTATTCGACGACACCAATATCATTATCAGCGTTAACAGAACGTTTATCACAAGCAGTAGGGATTGGGAATAATGGCTCGATAATAACAGCTATGTTTTCTTCATCGTCACCAAACGCGTTATGCAATTCATCGCAGAGCGTTAACAGTGAATTGATTCAGCCAACGATTGCTTTTAAACGACAGTCACTTAAACGTCCTATGGTACATTTTATTATTTATGTGTTGATTTGATTGATTTTTGTTCATATAAGCTATTTTTAGACGATATTTTAGGAGTTTAGAAGTTAGTCCAACGAGAGTTTTTTTTGAAGTGATTGACTTTCAGCTAGGCTCTTTATAGTTGGAGCCATTATAAATTTATGTTTTTTAATTGTTTTTTTTAGTAGAATTCAACGACTTCTTTCTTCATGCATGTCAATTAATTTTATATTAAATAAATTTTTGCCAATAATTTTTAATTTTATTTAATATTTAATTAAAAACGAATAAGTTTTCCGATAAAATATTTTTATTGTTCTTATATATTTGTGTTAAAGAATAAACAAAATCAGCGTTATTATTAAGAAAAGGTTGGTTTTCGTGGTTTAATTTTTTAGGCACCTTAATTTTCTTCGCATTTTATTTGTAGAATTCGTCCATGAACGGCCAATTTAAAAATCAGCTGCTTTTTGATTAATCAATTTTTTTGTGAATTTATTTCATCACAATATTAACACACTCCATTATTTCATGAAATAAATTTTTTATAAAGAATTTTTATAATTGGTTTCAAATTTTTATTATTTTGAAAAATTTTTTTGTTATTTTTTAAGTTTATCTGAATTCAGTTTATTTGAATTATTCTTTGATTGAATAATTTGCAGTTGTTTTTTAAATAAAATTAATCAATATAATCAATGTTCATGGAATTATAAATTAAGGATTATACTTTTGTATATTTTTCCATTGGATTGGATAATTTTTATTTGTTGTAAATTTCAAAATTTATAGATTTAATATTTTTATAAATTTTCTAAGTTTTATTTTATTTAATAATTATAAGTTTTAATTATAAATTTTTTTGATGGATTTTCTATGAGGAAAAAATATATTGAAAAGAAAATTAAGAAAATTAGGGAAAGTCAAAATATTTGAAATTAATTGCAAAGTTAAATATAAAACTTGGTGAAATAGTTCCTCAATTTTTCTTTTTTCACTATTAGGCAAAAAACCTGTTATAACCTATTAGCATCAATTTTATCGCTAAGCGTCGATCTTATAATAACAAATTTAAGTTCGAAAAAAGGTTGTTTTTTTGCTCCACCATTTTCTATCGGTTCCCTCATGGTTAATTGGCGGTTTTTTACATTTACATTTGCTTGATAGTTTTATTTTTGTTTTTTTTTTTTTTAATTGCATGAAGTGAGTCGATTCGACGATAATTTTGACTCGCAACTGTTTTATTATGAAGAAAGTGAAGTTGAATTATTAATTAAAATAATTTTTATTGTCGTGTTTTTATTGGTAGTTTTCTTTTTTTTTTATATTCTGAAATTTTCAATTTTAGATTTTTTCTGAACATTTTGAAGTACCGAAACCGAAAAGGAGAATGGAACAAATGAATGATAAGTTGAAGAATTTTCATATTTCACTAAATTCGAATATCACTCAGTATGAGTGGCAAAGGCGACAGAAAACTGAAACTTTTGAAGAACTTGAAGAGAGGTATTGTTTTAATATTGTAAATCGTCAGATGTATGAATCAGATTTTAAGGTTTCTCTTTAGCCCAATCGAGTAAATTCGAAGACGAAGATGACTAAAGTGCGGAACATCTTCGATTTGAATTGAATCGGTGTTGTTTTCCTCTTCTCTCTTTTTCAGTCGGACTCGCTTTTCCTCTTAATATTGCAAATCATGTTGCATTCCATTAATATTTCTTCGAATCGTGTTACACACTTTTACCAAGTTCTGATTTTAAACTTTTAGCACCATCTAATTTCCATTATAAATCCTTTTTATTGATTGGCTTCCCGCCATGTTTTATTTTCATCTTTTTCTTAATTATCTCTGTGAGGGAAAATGAGGACGACATAAGCTACTGTAGTATTTAATGCATTACTTCAGCCAATAAAAATTTGAAACAAAAGAGAGAACAAATTGAAGAAGAAAAAATGAGTGATGTAAAATTTTGTGGATTTGAAAGGATTCAGGATTCAAGCGACGACATTTGAGATGATCTTGAGCGACATAATCTTATAACTGAGACTACAATTATGGTGACAATATAATAAGATTTCGTAAAAGATTGTTACAGATTGATGGAGGGAGGAAAAGGGAAAATTAGGCAGCATTATTGGATTTTATGGGAGACAAATTTAAGGCAGTGGCAGGTGATCATAACTAAAGATGAAGAGGACATGAGGGCGACAAGGTAGAAAAATGTAGATGATATTTTAAAGAGTATCCAGGAGATTTCGTTGCTTGAGATTACTTTTTTCACTGAATTTGGCAGGTTTTAGGAATATGAGATGTTTTCAACACATAGCAGGTAGATATTTTGAAACTATCAATGCCATCACAAACTTCCACATATTAACCAAGAATTTTGCCATGCAGTTTATAATCGATATAGAAATAAAAAACATTTTAATGAGGTTTAGTTTTTTGAAATGATGCATTGGTGATTTAATGGCAAGGTGATTTCCACTATGAATTTGTTTTAATCCGGCTGATGCACCACACTTCGGTGGGTGGAAATGTCGCCGAACGGTTCATGGGTTGTTTCACTCAATTCGAAGCGCTGAGACTATCGGAAGTAAAATTTAGTAAAGTAAAATTTAGAGCAAAATTTACAAGAGTATAAGAGTATTTCTATAGCCAAGTGATTCACTAGTAAGAATTTGTATGGTCCGACAAGCAGCGGCGTGAGCCTAGTCATCAGTGGTTTAAAATTTAAAATTTAAAATTTTTAAAATTGTTAAGGAGATATGGTGGGGTTTGAAGAAATATTAGGTAAAAATGATATAATTTTAAGAGGAAATAAAAAAAGGATGGATAAAAGAGTATAGAGAAATTTGAAAAATGAGATTTGTAGAGGTGCTACATTAGAGGATTTGTTGGATATAAAATTTTTGTAGGGCTTAAATTATTACTTAAGAGATCTTTCAGCTTGGAAGCTGACATTACCCATCATTTCTGAAAATTATTTGAAAAGTAAATTTAGGCTCAAGGAATCTGACGATGAAATGGATAGTTGCGAGCCAAGTACATCTCAGAATCAGTCTGACGATGCAGAAATATCATTGAAGCTTAGTGCTGAACTTCAACAATATTTAAAGCGAAGTCGAGACGCTCCAGTTATTGTGGAAAAGTTAGCAAAATTTTGAAATTTATTTTGTGGCTAGATCTGTAAATGAATGATAAGGCTAGCTAGTTTCCATAATAGTTTAAGTAGTTCAAATGGTAGTTCAGGAGCTTCCTTTTTCATTGTCGGTATTTTCGCTAACCATTTTGGAATCAACATTGTCAACATATGTATTCTCTCTAATCCATTATTGCTTTATTTCATTTCATTTCATTTCATTTATAAATGCAGACTTGATATCAATGGTTAAGGCTTCTAGGCTTTTGGCTCAGAAAACTGTCGGTCCTGACTGGAAATTTATTTTCTGGCTTGTTGTTAATTTTTCTTTTCAGTCCTACTTCAGCCGTAGTACCGTATATTCCTGCGGATCCATATCAAGACCCATCTATGCATGGCAGGATCAAAGAAGTGTCAAGTGATCCATACATACATAATATTTATGAAGGTATTCATTCTTTGAAATCTTATTAAAAGTATAGAGGTTGAGATTTTTCCTGTCAGTTTTTTTTACTTTTACATAAATTTGAAACCTCATTTCCTAATATTTTTTCTCATTTCAGCCGTTTTTTCATTTGTAACATTTCCCGAAGAAGATAGAGCGGAATCGCCTATTGTGAATGCATACACAAGTTCTATTGAAATAAAAGAATTGGAGAGCAGTGAAGATGAACCAATGGATATCGATTAGAAAGAAAAGAATTTTGATCTACTTTTTAAAACAAAATATTTTAGCAAAATGTGCTCAAATTTATTGTAGTGCATTTACATTTCATTTCAAGTTCTTTTTTTAGGATTTCTGTTCTTATATTGGTTTTTTTGGGCTTCATTTATTTAAGCATATGTTTCAGAAATGAATTTGGAACTGTTCAGAACGGTTTAAAATTTTGTATTTAGTTTATATTTTACGTTTTCTTTATTTCTGTACATCAATTTTTCATCAACTGAAGCAAGCTTCGTTGAATATTCGCACATAGCTTAGTGCAACATTAATTGAAGAGAGATTTGAATTTTAATTAATCTTTTCAAATCTGATTTGATTGGATTTTTATCGATTTTAAAGTAAAAATTCAATTTTTGTTGATTTTTTGAATGGATAAAATTTATTCATAGCTGTAGGATAGTTTCGTAGTTAAAATTGTTTTATTGATATGTTGATAAATGCGGAACTTCCTTGTTTCGACTTTTCATCATATTTTGGTTTTTTCTTTATTTTTTTAACGGCGATAAGTATAGTATCGCTTTTTGAATAGTTATTGCTTTATTCTTTTTCGCTTGGTGTTTTCTATGCAGTAATTGTATGCTTATAAATTTTTTCACAAGTTTATTTGCGAAACCTCGAAACTTGGTTTTTGCCCATGATAGTGTTCAAAAATAAATGGAAAATGCTTGTTGTGGATGCATTTATGTCGTTACTGATAAGATCACCTTATTTTTTTGGGTGATTCAATTTGATGGAGTTGGCAGTTACCATGGTGCTTTTTTTCGCAGAAAATATGTGTATTTGAACATTTTTCGCATGAAAATGTTGGAAGTTTAATTATTGACCTTCGGAAAATGCTTTTTTAATTGTTATAGCACTGGTATACTGGAATGTTTACTGGCGGGAAGTCAATATCTTTTGAAATAAAATGTTATGAATGGAAGGGAATGGGGTTAATGCCAGAAATTAAGGTGGGGGTCAGGTGAAATCAGGGTGATGATCTACATCATTTTTTGTCTTTTGTAGTTTTGGCGGGAATATTTCGCCGGTTTGTTCTTGAGGTCCTTGGAACCGTTTTCTCAATGGTATCTAAATGCATACAATAAAATAACACAAAATGAGTTTCATTGGTGACCCACGCATAGTGCCGACACTTTTAAAATATCTTAACATTTAATTCTATAAACTTCGCTGGTCCAATGGGATTCATAGATCACCTTAGTTTTTTCGGTAATTTAATATTTCAAGTAGGAAATTTCGGATTGTGGAGTTTTACGAACTTGATTCCTATTTAGCACCATAAAATTACGAGAATCAGCTATTATCAGCTTTGCTCAAGAAGAGAGAAATGGAATAGCAGAGCGATTATTGCTCAGATCGAGCATCAAGGTTCAGATCCAGATGTTTTCATGCGAAAACATGGAAATATCATTCAAATATCATTCCCTACGGTGCTGAATTTTCTCGTATTTTATCGTCGTTATTCCATACTAACATAGAAATTAAGTAAATATGGTGGGCGCCCTAACCACTTTTCATTTTCCTCTTGAAATTTAATTTTTTATTTAATTATTATATAATTAATAAACGATAAAATTTATTTTTTCTATCTTTATATTATAAAAATACATTAAATAGACTTGTATTTTAGAAAAATGCAGCAAAACTCGTATGAACCAGTCGATTTCCTCGAGGGAAAATATGTTATCGTTAATAAAATCGCCTCAGGCGCGTTTGGTAATGTTTTCTTGGGCTTCGACGTTTCGAATGGTGAAGAGGTGGCAATTAAAGTGGAAAGTGCCCTGGTTTGTTTTCTCCATATTTTTTATATTAATATTAATATTAATTAATATTAATATTTATTTTATTGGAAAATATAGTAATTAAATATAATTACTATTAATATTAATATTAATGAATATTTTTCAAAATCATTTTTTATGCGAGTTTTCCTTTCTTATTTTTAGTGTGATGCTCCACGATTATTTTATGAAAAGGCTATATACGAACAACTGAAAGATGATGTTAACGTTCCACATATCAAATGGTTTATTTTCTTTTTCCTTCAAAATTTTTAATTTTAAGATTTATATTATTATTATTATTACGTCGCTAGATCGAATGGTTATATCCTTTATCATTTCATTTATCTCTTATCATTTCTTTCACCTCCTTTATCATTTATATCACTTCCTTTTCTGCCTTTATTACTGCCTTTATTGCCTTTGTTATGTCATCTCATTTCTTTAGTAAGAATAGTATCGTTAACTTTCCTCATTAGATTTTATCCATAATGTACGGGGTTAAATTACGACTTGCAAGTATATTGTTATTTTTTAAGTAAATATGCTGAGTAATTAATTTTAGAAAAATTATATTAGTAAGAGATATAAATTGTCAATATTGATTGGTAATAACATTTAATGCGAGTGGAACAGCTCAGTGGTTTATTGCTCTCATTTCGGATCGTCGATACTGAGGTTCTATTCCTAGCAAAGGTGATAAGTGTTCTAAAATATTAGGGTTGTTGCTGGAGATTTGCCTATTTTTCTATTTCTAAGTGGCAAAATTTGTCTAATTTGACAAACTAGTCGACCGAATCGAAAATGATGAAAGCCCTTAGAAAAATAATATTTAATAAGTTTATTATAAATTTATTGTTGTTCTCTCAACAGTGAGTGAATTTATTCAATAAAATTTTACTCGCTAAGTAGATAAGATTTTATGAAAATTAAAACCATAAAGAATTGAAAACCATTATCACATTTTTTATTGTAGTGTTGGTACCAACGGTACTATAAATTATCTTGTAATGGACCTAATGGGACCAACAATTGAAGACATTTTCATTTATTCTCACCGTGAATTTACGTTTAAGACCGCGCTTGCACTCGGCATACAAATGCTCAAATGTATTCAGCAAATTCACGCCAAAAATATTCTTCACAGAGATATTAAAGTATTTTATTTCTATTTTTTTATTTTCTATAAAATAATTTTCGCCAATCTTTGTTTATCCTAAAATCATTTTATTTTTATCACTTTATCATATTGTCATTAATAATCTATTTAATAATTTCAGCCGAATAATTTTGTGATGGGTATTAAAAAAAATTGCAGTATTATGTATCTTATAGATTTTGGTTTATCTAAGAAATATCAAGATGTGGACGCTTCTCAAGTTGATACGGATCATCCATCTGATAAAGTAAGCAAATTGTTGATAATGATAATAATTAAAGATGTAAACAAATCTGATTTATAGGGTTTCGTAGGTACGGCTCGATTTGCATCAATTAATGCTCATCGTGGCTTTCACTACTCGCCAAGAGATGATGTCGAATCATTTGTCTATACATTATTGTATCTTCTGAAGTATATTTATTTATATTTATATAATAGTCTAATTTTATCATAATTTCGCTGAAATTCTGTGCGAAATTCTCAAACTAGGCGTCTAGTAGAGGACCTGAGGTTGAGGATGATCATGGCGATCTACAAGTGGGCTGAGAGAAAGTTTATTTTTTATTTAATTTAAATTTTTATTCATAAAAATATTTGTAAGAGGTAAACTTCCTTGGCAAAATATAACGCCTGATACGACGAGAGGAAAATACGATACAATTTGCGATATAAAATCGGAAATGTCCTCCAAGGTATGATTATTCTTATAGCAAATATTTTCGTTTCTATTAAAATAAGCTAAAAAACTAAATAGTCTCCAATCGCTAAACTTTTTGCCTAACACTTCAAGCAGTTAACAAAAAAGAAAGAAGAAGGAGACGAGAGTTATTTATTAGATTTTGCCATCAAAGTGGTTAATCAGTAGGAGTTTCGAGATTTGACGCTTGAAATCACATTTGATCAAACTCTATTGTGGATGAAAATTTCGTTCGAGTTTTTTGATAAGTATTTATATAATAATTTACAGGAATTAAGCGAAGGATGTCCAGCAGAAATCGAAAATTTGATTCAGTATTGTCGAAATTTAGATATTGACGAAATTCCCGACTATGACGGTATTTTCAAGAGTCTTCGCAATTTATTGAGGACTTTTTGGCAGCAGGTATTTTTTATATAAAAATATTTTATATAAAAATAGAATGATGAAAAAGTTTTTTTATGAAATTGCTTTTTAGTACGATTATATTTGCGATTGGACAATGAATCAAAATGGAAATGGATTAGATGATGAAAAAGAAAGTAAAGAGTGGTTGAAAAAATTAGACAATGATATAAATGCATTATATTAGGCTCATATAAAAAGAATGATTATAGGAGAAACTGAAACAATGGAACTGATAATTTCATATCATTGATCATATCTTTTATCATATCTTTTTTTATCACAAGTTCCAAGTTTTATATTTGCATCATTTCTTTTATCTATAATTACCTTTTTATTTGTTTATTTTACTTTCTATGCATAATGTTCATTGATGTTTTTATTTATTTTTTAATTTATCAATTTTTAAATTTGATTTTTATTTTAAACATAAAATTTAAATTCAAATTTAAATTTTTTTACTACAAATAAATTTTTATTTTTATTTTTTTCCTTCATTTTTTTTCATATTTCTGAATTCATTTTTTTAATGAAAAAAAATGATTAATTCAAATATGTCGACGGAATTCAAGAAAAAAGGAATGCTACGAGAGTATAACAAAAGGGAATATCTTCGGTTTTAAAAAAACAGAATGGAAATTCGCTGAATGTAAACCAATACCACCAATGATTTCCTTAGTTAATTCCACGCTCGAAGCCCGTAAAATGAAAAAAAAAGGACATTAGAGGACACTATAAGCATTAACGAATATACAACGATATTCTGAACACCATGGATCCATCCAACTTAATAATCGAATTTAAAATTTAAATCAGTGGATTTATATTAATATTAATGACTTATGGTAACATTATAGTTATAGTAGTAATGAAGTACCACTGCGCGTGCAGGTAGACCTGTTGCATCCAATTATATCTGTCATGTTATCAATATGAGATCAGTAGGAGTTCCTTACCAGATCCCATTGTTGGTCTGGTGAGGACTCTTTCTTAAAACAAATGGAACGCTCTTCCATTAGTTTTAAACACATAAAATAAAATATAGCGGAATCACGATGGGACGAAAAGGTTCTGTGGTACTAAGACTAAATATTCGCGGGTTTTGATTCCTCAACGGCGGGATAAATCTGTTCCTAAAAGCGAAATTCGATTAATATCGCAGAGACTTATAAACGGAGTGAAAATTGAACAGCTGATAGAGAATACATTTATAGTTTATTTTTATGCTGCATTCTTGATATTGTGTCTTAAAACGATCAATAATCTTGTATGAAAATCATGCAATTCAACCAAGTGTAGCCGCCGTTTTGAACTACTAATTCGCGGATTGGTTATACTTCCACAAATTCGTATCTTTTGTGGTTTTCTAAATTTTCAACTAAAATTTCTTATTTTCCTCCTTCCTATTTTATTTTATTAATTATTATTTGTTTTTTAATTTTCTTTTAAAAAATTTGCAGATTTAATTTTAATTATAAAAATAATGAATTGTCCGCTTAAATATTTCAAATTTGAATTTTTGAATTTGAATTTTTGAATATTGGCAGAGGTTAAGGCGCGCTTTTATTGTTTATAATAAATGCTCAAATGTTTTTTGAGTGGCTTAGTGGGTTGTTGCTTTGATTTTCGTGTTAGTAGTGGTGGAGTACCATCGGGGGTGCGCGTGGACCTGTTTCCCCGCGTGTGCGGTACTTTTACTTGTGCCCATTTGTATTTATGCCGTCAGGTGACCTAGGTGGCTTAGATCCAATTTGTCAGCAGGAAAGATTCTCCTGCGATTGACAGCATCAAAATCTCCATATTTTTCTAAAGTTTTTCTATTTGCAATAGATCACTCTGAAAGAGATTTTTTTAGAAATGCAACATTAATGTCTATTTTAAAGGAAAAAATTTAATTGAGATCATTGTGCTTTTTAATGCATTTTTTGTTGCTTTTTTTTTTCATCTCTTAATTGTTCGTTTTTTCAGTTGATTATCAGTTGATATCAGTTGTCTTCCTGATTATCGTTATTGCTTTATTAATTTCTTTTCATTTGTCATTTTATAGATTATTATGCTGGAAATTTCAAACACACGTGGTACTCGTCTATCCAGCTTGAATGTTTTGAAATAAATAAATAAATGATTCGAAAAATAGTTTTTTATCTTTTTCTTCGGTTCTTTTTTTGTATTATGGGCTTCTCTGAGATTCTAGCGAATTTTGGTAATGTTTGGAAGTCTGATGGCAATTGATTCATTCGAGAGATGCCACGCATGAGAATCCGTTGAAAACTGCTACTTTAATGAAAGTAGTGGATTTTTTACAACGTTTAGCGAAAATTTCTATAAAACAAATGGTTTTCGGAGAATGGAGCATCAAAATAAAATTTGTGTTTTTGGAATCGTTGCAATACATTTTAAAGCTTTTAACGAAGTTTTCATTTAGCCGCGGTTGATTGATATTTGGCATTTGCAATTCTCTTTGCAATTTGAGGTTGGCTAATATGATTTTAACATTTTGTTGTATTATTTTTTATTGTTATTTGCCAAAAAACTCGTCCAGCGGTTCTAAAAAAGCAGACGATCGACATATTTTCAAAAATCTATTTCGAATCCTGAAGCCGCGAAAATACAAAGGCGAAAAGGCCGCTTTTGAGGTCGGCCTCCTCATACTCTCTTTGCTCCTCTCATGCATGGCTTTCATCTCCTTCATTGAGCAGATATTATCATATCATCTTTGTTGTTTTTCGCATTCTAATGGTTCTTGTACAGCTTTCCTTTTGCTTTGTTTATATACGCCGTTGTCTTTTATATTTGGATCTTTTTTACCATTTTACTATGTGGCAGGCCACTAAATTTTCACGTACTTTTCTCTTTAGATGAAAATTGCCTTATTAACCTCATCATTGTTATTCCTTAGCTGATCGACATTTAATTTGTTGGTAAGGCAGATTGCTGGTTCGACCTTATAGTAGCCTTTTTGATTTTTATTTTTGCGGCACTTCCAACTGGTAAAAGTTTGGTATGCCGGCCTTATTCGAATCTAAACTAATCGGGATAGGTAGCAACAATATTGTGGCACTGAACTAGCTATATTAAAAGTGCAACAGGTGGTGTATTGTAAAAGAATATCTGGATAGGCGTCAAAATGGGGATCGATTAAGCAATAGGGAAGAGTTTGATATGATTGTTGCTGATGACCTTCAGCACTTTTCTTGCTAAATGATTTGGCAGAATTTATCTGGTGCAACAAACCAAATGAGCAAGCCTTAACCAGAAATAAAAATAAAGAGTGGTATAAAGAATGTGGCATAAGTTTACAGCTTTTCATGAGCAAATTTTAAGAGAGATAAGAGGGTTTGGAAAATGTGGAAAATCATTTTCGATGAAAATAATATGGAAAGACTAGGAATTTTGATGGGATGAGAAAAATAACCAGATTTAGAGGATCGTATTAATACTTGGAAGGATTTTGAATGAATTAGGCAGATTTCGAAAGAATTGGGTGAGTTTTTCGGACACATAAACACCATAAATTATTATATAGGTTGTCATTTTATCCTTTTATTGTTTTCGGTTATTTTTCACCACTTTTTGTTTAGATATCAACTATGTTTATTTAAATATCGAAAATACCTAATTAATGGAATTATTTTTCTTGTCATTGAATTAAAGGTAGTAGGAATTTCAAGTAGTTAATACTGAAATTGTTGATGCAATTCGCTGGCTTATAGATATTGTTCAAATTATTTATGAAAAAAACTATGAAAAAAAATTTAGAGAAATAAATTATAGTATTTTTTCAGGAAAAGTTAAATAGTTTATTGAAAAGAATATTATCGATATGACAGTTCGGAGAGTTTGGTGGGTATTTTCGTTTGAATTTGGATTGTTTCAATACGAATTTTTTTATGAACTGATCCATTTTAAATTGATATCCGTATTTTTTCAAAGGAATTATTATTAATTTAGGATTTTATAAAACAAATATTGTCCCAAATCAGTTTACAATGGCATAATTTTGAAATTTTTAATTTTTTCTTTCAAAAATTACGGAATAATGTTTGTGGATATATAAATATATATATATATATATATATGTATGTACATGTATATATATATATATAATATATGTATATATGTAAATTTTTCAAATAAGAAATAGTTTAATGGGACAAATAAACAAATTGCACCATATAACCTTTTTCCAGCAAATTCGAGCAATACATGAATTCGTACTATCAAAGTTTAAATGTCGATGGGCGGTTTTATTTACGAGAAAAACTTGGTTATGGTTCATTTGGAGAAATACATATTGCAGAAGACAAAATAACTAAAAAAAGGGTGGCAGTAAAAGTAGAAGTATGCTTGGTAAGTTTTGTAGTTTTGACGGTTCTTCAAAAATTTTATTTTCAAATGAAGACTTTTCTTTCTTAAAGACTTCAATTTTTTAGAGTCCCACACATCGTCTAATTACCGAAAAAGAAGTATATGAATGCTTAAACAGTTCGAATGATGAATCTATGGTACCAAAGGCAATATGGTTAGTTTCTTAAGCTGGTTGTTTCCCAGAACTTTATGCAATTATTATTTTTTTAGGTTTGGTACATTAAGAAGTTATAAAGCACTGGTCATGGAATTGATGGGTCCGTCATTGGAGACATTATTTAGATTATGTGATCGCACGCTATCATTTAACACAATTGCATATCTCGGCATTCAAATGCTTTCTTGCCTTGAATTCCTTCATTGCCATTCTTATTTGCATCGTGATGTTAAAGTTTGTTAATTTTAATTCTTGTTCTCTTTATTGCTTTTCGTTTTTTCGTTTTTCTAAATATTCTATATTATTTCCAGCCATCGAATTTTGTCATGGGTGTTGGAATAAATTGTAATAATGTTTATTTAATCGATTTCGATGTAGCTAAAAAATATCGAGATGAACGTGGAAATCATATAGCTTATGAGGAACAGGTTTCAGTTTTATGAAATATTTTTTCGCATTGTTTAATCAGAAATTTAAAATTAATTTTATTTTCAACGATAAATGTATTTGATTAATTTTTGTAATATTTTTTATTCCATTATAGAAGGATTTTGTTGGGAATGCTAAATTTGCTTCCTTACGAACTTTTCTTCAACAAGGTTTATCTCGTGCCGATGACTTGGAATCACTGGCTTATATACTTTTTTACTTTTTAATGTAAGTTTCCTAATTTTGCGTTATTATTTTATAAAATGTTTAATTTTTTTATTCTCTATGTGTACGTTTTGATTTATTAGCTTTTTTATTTTATCGTATTCATGTTTTAAGGAAGGATCTTCCGTGGCAAGAAGGCGACAGAAATAATAGGCAAAAAATGATTGATTTAAGGCTCAGACTTACCGTAAGTTCTTTTGTACTGCTAAAGGTGTATAGAATTTTAATGTTCTAATTTTTCAAATATCCTGAGGGAATATTCTAAAATTTCTAAATATTTCTTATATTTTTAATTTCTTGAATGAAATAAATGTATTTCTCGATTTTGGTTTTTTAAATTAATTTTTCGAAAATTATGTCTGTATAAAGAATAAGTTGATTTGAAAATACAACATTTTTTACTCTTTTTTTTAAGGATATATATCCGTCAGTGCCATCTGAATTCAAGCGCTTTTTATCCGTTTGTCGGACCATGCATTTTGATGAAGAACCCAACTACGTCAAGTTGGAGTGTCTAATATGGAACAGAGAGGTATTTTCTAGACTTATATGCAATCTGGATAATTTCTTTTTCTACATATTTATTTCTTTTATTATCAGTTTTCAAACAGTACATTTATCGTTCTTTATTTTTATTTGGATTATCTTCGTCTTCAGAATAATCAATTTTTAATAACATTTAATAACATTAATTTTTTAGACTGTTTTACACAAACCTGTGTTTGAATGGTCCAATCTTTCTTCTGAGAAGATGAAATTAATTGAATCAGGAAAATTCGAAGCAGATTTTTCAGATTATTAGATAAATTTTTTGATATTTTTGTATTCTTCGCATTCTTGCAATTCAAATGGTTTCTATTTTTTTAATGGTATTTGTACATCTTGCTATAAGGCTATTCCGATCTCATGAATGTAAATTTTTAATTTGTTAGATTTATTTTTTTCTACTTTTTCATTTCACTTTTCATTTTCATCGTTTTTATCAAATTTTTTCAAAATTAGGAAAAAAATTCATGCAGAAAGCAGTTTTTCTAGCAGATCGAAAAGTGAGAAAAGTCATTTTATCAATTTTTTTACAGTCTTAGATTTATAATGATTTGTGACTGTTTTTTCATTTTGTTATAAATGAATTATTATAATTGTAGTGCAAATTTAGTTGGTTTTTTATTTCATTTTGCCATTTATTAAAAAATGTTGTTTATTATGAATTTTTATTTTATATTGTCTTAAATTATAGTTGAATTTTTTTTGAGATTTTGGAAGAAAATTTTTTGCTTTTTATGTTTTTATGTTTTATTTTTTATTTTTTGCACGGTTATTGGGCATTATTATGGTGAAATTCGGTTTTCTCATTTTTCATTTTGCTTCATCTTATTTTGTTAAGTTTTTGAGGAAATTAACATTTTTTGTTCATTCTTTTTACGTTTTAGTTTATGTTATCGTAAATTTTTTTATTTACTTTAAATGGCTTTAAATTTGTAAAATATAGTTGTGGGGTTTGGAAATATATTGGGCGCATAGTTCATTAGTTCATCAAATTGCAGGGATTGATTCGTGATTTTTTTGCTTTTGAAAACTAACTGCAAACTAAGCAAACGGCTACAAATCCTCTCATGATTAGTTTTATGGAAATATTGGGAAAAAAAGTTGAGAATAGGGGAGAAGGAAAAATTCATTAAATTTTATGAAAAATCAACAAATTCACGAAAATATAATTACGAATAGTTAGGAATGAAGTTAGGAATCCGCAAAGAACATATAAATAAAAAAATTAAACTAAGCAAAGCGGGTAAGGGAACTTACCAAATTTCGTGTTGTCTATTTGCAATAATAATGGATCAATAGGAAAGGTCAAGAAGAGAAGGAAAATTTCCTCGGTATTGGTTGGATTGATTGAATCTCGACATTTTATGAGATTTTCTTATAGAAAAATGAATAAAAGGTCGATGACATTATTGGGTGACCTATTTCGTAGAATTGTCGTTAATTTGGATTTTATCGTTTTTTCTTTATTTTGGGGTTAGTGGTTTGTATTGCATAACGAAATGGAATGTGCGGGGTTTTCCGATTTTTGTGTTTGGTGGGTGCGGAATCTTTGTGGTTCTCTACTGGTCAGAGTGGTCGCGGCTAATCGGTTGAAGTGTCGACTTGCTTTTTCCTCTTCATCCATCTCTGTTTCCAGTATATTGGCTTGTATTTGTATTATATGAATAGGTCCAAAGTGGGTTACCAATCCAGGTCTTAACTGGACCCCTTCGCTTTTGGAGCACCAACTATTAAAGATTTTGTGAAAAATATAAATCAACGCAAAGAAAAATTATTCTTCATAACGAACCTGAAATTCTGATTGTTACATTTAAAGGAGAAGTAATCGAAGATGAGAAAATTAGGTGCCAATAGGGGCGCGTCGGATGTCTATTACAAGTTATTAAAAGGTAATAACCAGTGCTACAATTGATGGGGTGGTACTTCACGTAGTCTTAGGGCGGAGCAGCATAGGCTCTTTATTTGAACAAAGAATAAACCATTGAAATGTGAAGTGAAGTGCTTAGAAATCGTATTCGCATCTTGTTGCAGTGGTACCAGCCTTGTTGCAGTGGTATGCAAATCGAATGGCTCATAAATAAAGCTATAATTTCATTCATAAATTTTCAAATTTTAATCCCAAAATTGTTTTTGATTTTATATGGGAATTTAACACAGCAAAAGCAAATGAAAGAAGCAAAGGAAAATGATTAATTTTTTCAGGGAATTTTAGATTATTACTTTGGCTATTTAATTTGTAAATTTCGCAGATTTTAAATATTACCTTAGATTTTCTAAATACTAAAAAGAGTTTACTTATTGTACAAATAGCGAGAAATTTTACTGTTTACTTCGAATTTCCTTATTTTCGGTAATTAACTATTTTTATTAAAATTATTAAAATTATTATATAATAAGCAATTATAAAAGGAAAATTTTCCCATATTATTTCCTTTGTAAAGTTGGACAAATGCGAAAAATAATTTACGCTTGACCTATCTCTATTGGCTATTATTAGCCACAATCGTCTACTGTTAGCGATCCGATCTTATCGAATAAGTGACCGTCTCCTTAGCGATATAAACGATATGAACCAAATTCTTCTTCTTCTTAAGAGTTGTCACCATTAGTGGTTAAATTCGCTCCACTGGCTTGTCGCATTGAGCAATATGCCAGGGAATCCCTTGGCGATAGAAGTACAGTTGAGTCGCCAACATCACCCGGATTTTTGTATTCAGAATTGCTCCTGCGGGGAATCGAACAGCAGCTTCGGCTGCTCCAAATTGAGCAACAACCCCACTGAGCCATCCTATCTCCAAATGAGAAATGTTGAACCGCAAATCACTTATTAATTATTATTTCGATGAGAATTTCGTTTCGCCAGCAATTTATGCATAAATTTATATTCTCTTTTATTTACTATTTTTGGAAGAATTTCTATCCATCTTACATACAATAAAATTCTCGTTCAGAATCATATTAATTTGTCAAAAAATTTAAAATTAAAATTAAACTATATGTTATTTGAATTGTTGCAAATGAATAGTGAAAAATTCTTTCGGCGATGATTTGATCGCATTGCAATATTATGCCAGTTGTATGCCACTGCATGCCATTGCATGCCAGTGCATGTCGGAATTCGTCAACAAATTTTAAAATTTTTATTTTTATAATTTTTATAATAATAATTTTATAATAAATAATAAAATTTCATAAATATTATTAATTTTATTTATTAAATTTAATTGAATGAGGACAATTTCTTGAGATTTTTTAATATATTTAATATTTTATTTTTTTATATATTTGATTTAATATTTTACTAGAAATTCTAATAATTCTTTTTTTACGACATCCTAAGTTCCAATTGGGTTTCCTTAACAGTCTCACAAAAAAAAAACGCTGCTTCTTCTAGTAAAAATCGAATTCGATGTGGTTAATATCGTTGGTTCCCTTGCTCATAATCGCTTATGATCTTTTGGTGCATAATTTTTATTGTAAACATTCCATTTCCCATTGTTGCAATGTGTATTTTTTCAGCGAGTCGAATCGCACGCACACCATTATAACTAATTCAGTTTTTCATCACCAAAGGCTTTTTTGATATTTGTGGCTTTAAATAATTTTAGATTTCTATTCACCATGCACCATAATGTATAAGGCTTTTGAATTTATTTTATAAATTTTGCATGAATATTAAATTTATCAAAAAAATTTCCCACTTAAAGTAATATTTATAATAATAAGCAAAAAAATATTTATATTTAAAATCATTTAAAAGAGAATTATTTAATCAAAAATATTAATTTTTACTTAAATATTTGGTATATTTATTTATTTATTTTTCTAATAACATTTAATATATCTTACCTCTAAGCATTGTTGAAATATAATTCAAAAAAAAAAACAATATATTTATATATTATATTTATTTATATTTTATGTCTATATTTTAAATTTCGTTTTATATTTTTCATATTTTATATTTTTTATATTTTATATTTTTTATAATATTTCGAATTTATTTACATTTAATATATTTAATATATTTAAAAGAATTATTTTAAAATTTAAATTTAAATATAAAATTTAAAAGAATTCTTTTCTATGGTTTAGTTTTCACAAAAAAAAAAAATGGTAATCAATTGGCTATTTCTTAGCCATAATCAATTGGTTTTATCGTTTTTTATAATTTTTCGATGATTAAAATTTTTATTTTTAATCAAATTTCTTTAGCTAATTCCATTGGTGACTAGGATAAGATATTTTTATTCGTTTCGATGCTCATTTTCGGCGTCATCCGTCACAAATTTTAGCAAGTAGCGAGAATTTTAGTTGTTCTATGATTGATGACGAAGAACATAGCCTAATCTGCATAGATGAGATGATGGCGATATTCTTAATGCAGATGGAACTTTGCCTGGTTTTCACTTGGCCCGGTTTTGGACGATATACCTTCTCTCTACTTTTTATTTCATTTATTTTTCTGAGTATCTTAGTTGATAATTTCTTAAATTTTTTGTTAAAATTATTACTATTTATTCTATTTAATACAAATTGCTATTTGTTATTTACCCATGTTTTTTCTTTTCCTTCTTTTCCCTCTATTTTTCCTTTTTCCTTTTTCTTCCTCATTTTTCCTTCTTTATTTCATTTTCTAAATATTTCTTAATTGGTTTTGAAATAATCTTAATAGCCTTATAGAATCCTTAATTATAATTTATTATCCCTCACTCATTACTAATAAAATTCTTAAATTCAGTTCAATCGACTGTTTTGTAGATCTTTTATTCCCATAAAATAAGCATATCTGCGCGATTTCATGAAATTATTGGTTTCCTAATCCATCGACTCTCAATTTTGATATATTATTCAACGATATATTTTCAGGTCTAACGAGGTTACTTGTTGTATTTCGTACTGGTTTAATCAAGTAGGTCCAATTTTTCATTGACCTAAAATCAAATAACAAAATGGATAAATTGAATGGCTCATATGCTAGCAACGTCGATTCGCAACAGAATAAATTTATAGCACGTCGAGTAATAAGATCTTCAAATTTTCGCTCGAAACATTTTCAGTGTCGTCAGTCGCTACTAACCGAATTGTTCGAGAAAACCGATATTTCAATACTTTGGAATCTTTTTCTTGCATTCTTTCTTTTACTTCATTTGCTAACGATAATTGTCGATTATCTATCCACTGGTAATCCATTTGATCATTTATGGCTGATAACCTGGAATTTCAGCTATTTTCCGCAAACAATGTTCGTTTGGTGTTTAATGGCGATAAGCATATTAATTCCTTATTATATTTTAAAATTCTGGAGTGATATACCGTCTAAAGAGATAAATTTCCTTCAACAACTCCCGTTTTTTTTCATCTATTTTTTCTATTTAATTCTATTTTTTATATTATCATTAAATTTCATATTTAAAATGCGCTTAAAATGTGCGTGCACATTTATTATCACTTGTGAAAATACTCGTATCGCAATGAAAATCCATTCATTTATTCGTGAAACGTTTCCTCTAGCAACGTCTCGAAAAAAGCAAAAATCAAAAGCGATTAATTTGGAGGATATCACCGATGAAATTCAATTTCCGACCGTTAGCCAACTTTACTATTATTTTTTTTGTCCATCGTTCATCTATCGCGATAATTATCCGCAAACGGCTAAACGATCGTGGAAAACGATTCTCATTTATTTTCTACAAATTATCGCTATTATTCTCTTCGTAAATCTTATTTTCATACAAATGATTATTCCAAATTTTGCTAAAATTCCATGCTCAACGATGAATTTCGCGGAATTTATTCAAAGGATAATTATTTCTATATTACCTGGTTTTTTTTGCCTTTTATCCTTATTTTATGGACTTTTACATTGTTGGTTAAACATGTTTGCTGAAATTCTTTATTTTGGTGATCGGCAATTCTATTCGAATTGGTGGTTTTCGAAAAATATGGCTGAATACTATCGAAATTGGAATTTAGTTGTACACGATTGGCTATACACTTATATTTATAAGGACATCGCAATTGTTGTGGGTGGAAAAACGGGTTTGATTATCGCCCAAATAATTGTTTTCTTTATTTCGGCACTTTTTCATGAATACTGGTTCGGTGTTGCTTTACGATTTTTTTATCCAGTTATGTTTGTCTTATACTTTGTTTTTGGTGGAATATTCTTTTTAATATCGCGATTCATACGAAATCTTTTCGTATGGAATACGATTATGTGGATGAATTTATTAGTTGGTACTGGAATATTCGTTGCATTGTATAGCCAAGAGTGGTACGCAAGGCAGCGATGTTCACCTCTGTTTGATAATGCATTTCTAGATTTTATCATACCGAGACATTTGTGGTTCAGCGAATAAGCACATCCAAGTAGTCCATCCATTTAGATGTTTCGCACTACGTAATTTTATAGATCTTCCTTAGCAAGAATGCATTCTTCGCAATTCGTTTGAAAATTGGAGTTCTGGAGTTTTTTTCGTGTCATAAAAAAAACGGCTTGGCTATTGCTCAAATTTTTTTAAATTTCTAAAACCTCTCTTGCAATTTATTAAATGCCCTCTTCGATTGGTACCTTTAAGTGAAATAGAATGAACAATCATGAAGGTGGAAGATATATTCATGGCAAAATATTTACTATTACCAGTATTACAGTATTACCAGTATTGCAAAAATTTTCCCGAAATGTCGAATTTCAGTTAGAGAGAGAGATTAGCAAAATAAATGAGAAAAAAATAGAGAGCACAATTTTTTTCCATTTAAATTTTTGGTTTTTCCAGTGGATCCAGTGGATTAAGAAGAGTCTGTCCTTCTTGAATCTGTTTTTGTTTTCCGTAATTTGAAATATGTATGCTTTTGGAGTTTCCCTTGAGTTGTATTGTAGAAACTTTGATTTTCAACCTTATTTAAAACTGAAATATGCAAATTAATAAACGAATGATTATCAGTTAGACTATGATTAATCTGATAACTCTTCTATAATAAAATTTCATTTGGCACATTTGGAATTCAACACCTGGCTCAAATATTTCCTAAGTCATTTTTTTCTAGTTTTTTTAATTTCTGTACCTCTTACCTGGAAAACTATCAGTTTTTTATCTTTTATCGGCTTTGCAGTATTAGACTGGCTCACCTGGCATTTAAAATAAAAGCGTCTTGGCTCCAAGTTTCGATCCGACATATCTGAATATATTGTCTAAATATTGCATAATAAACGCCCTATCTTTCGTCTTTCGCCACCTTTTATTGAATGAAAAATATAGTTTCATAAACATTTTCAATTTTTTCAAATGTTTTCAAGAGTTTTTTTTTTAGCCCAATTTTTCGATTATAAATTTAATTCGGTTTAAGAAAATTTTTTTATGAAATTTTACTTAATATGTTTTTCTTGAATTAATTTCTACAATTGGATTTGCTGCTTATCTTCGAATAAAGCTTTTTTTAATGTGAAAAAATTGCATGGAATAAAAAAATTTGAAAATTCTCAAATCAACAATTTTTAAATTATCGGTATGAATGCAAATGCAAATTTGCCGGAATTTTATTCGTAAGAATTGTGTAACTCTCTTTTTTTATGGATTGGCAGTAGCGTATGCACCTTCGCGGTATTTCTGCTCCCTCGATTCCCTTAGCACTCCTTGGAAAACTTCCGTAAACCTTTGAATTGCTTGCAGACGGTTGGATTTGATGGATTTCAAGACTGTTGAATAACAATTTTCTTTTCTACATGAAAGTGGCTATTTAATAACTATTTAGCTTATCTCAATTATTTCGCCTTAGGGCCTTTGCCTACCATTTATCTTTCTAGAAAAAGAAACTAAGAAAATTCATTCAACCATATATTGTTGTATATGGGTAAAGCCTATTAAGCTAAAGCGTAAAGCCTATTAAGCTAAAGCGGGCTAATGCCTATTAAACCTATCGTTGACAGTTGAAATGCAAAAGCCTAAAGCTAAAGCCTATTAAGCCTATCGTTGACAGTCGACAGTTGAAATGCAATTCGGTCGATGTATTTCCGTCCTCAGATGATTTCTTCCTAGCAATGCATTCTTCAAGCATTTTCATGTTCCACAATTAGCCAGACGAAAAGAAACACAACAAGAAGCTTCAACTATATTAAAAAAATTTACCAAAGACATTTTTTCTCGTTGACAATTTTGTGCAATGCATAATTAGCTGATAAAGTTATTAAATGGTTCTTTAGTGCTATATCAATATTGGTGCATTGGTACTTTCATTTAGAAGTTCAATTTTTTCTAACTAAAGCGAAATTAAATAAAATGCGCCATGTTTTATAATTGTACCAAAATATTGGAATATGTGAAAAAATTCTTAAATTGTTTTGGTGGATTGCCAATTAAACCGTTGAATATATCGTCTAATTCGTAAGCAAATTCCTCAAACCGTTGGAAAACCTGGTTGCAAATATTTTTTAAGTTGCACAATAAGAAATTTCTTTAAGAAAATTTTATTTATTCAAAAAGAGAGCAAAAAATAAGAAACAAAAAATCTTTAAAAAAAAAGAGCAAACAATATTATACAATTATACAACAAAATTATTATATTTATTGAACATCTGATTTTTGATTGTCGTTTGATGGAGGCGAAGGTTTAATTGGAATTCGGCGAACTGGTACACTGTCTGATGGTACCTTCCTGGCGTTGATACTCAATACTCCGTGGTCGGATAAATTCGATTCAATTGTATCCATTTGCATTAATTTTAAAAATCAGAAAATTGAATGCGAGAAAAACTTACTTTACCAATGGAATTACCAATATTACATTGTTGCAACAAAGGCTGATTAAACCAATATGGAGTAATCGAACGACTGAATAAATTATCACCGTTGAAAAAATTATCAAAAGCCTTATCAACCACACGAAGCAGATTTCGCTCAAATGGAGCGACACAATAGCGACGATGTGGCCAACTCGAGACGCAAATCGACATATTAGCGACGATCCACTTAATGACTTACTTATTTATTCAAATTTTATTTTGAAATTGCCAAATTTTCCTCATTTTTATACATTAAATATTGTCCTTCAAGAAATTTCTCAACCATTCTCGAAGCGATTTTTATGCCTGCCTTGTATTATTTTCACACTGTTTTCATCTCTAGTCGCTGTCGAAATTTCGAGAAATTTCTAGAAATTACCAGAAATTTCCGATGATTTTCGGATTTTTTTTGATTGAAAAAGGAAAAATTTTGGAAAACAAATTACAAAATTAGCTAATAAATTTATTTTATTTATTTATCACTAATAAACAAACATTTTTTTGCTGGGAAAATAAAAATGATATTGAAAAAAATCAATTTCGCACCAAAAATATCATTGAGGCATTGAAATTTATAAATAATTTTATTAATTTTTTTTCGAAAATTCAATTTTTTAAAAAAATTTTCATAAAAAATTTGACTATAATTTTAATCAATTATTAAGCAAAAACAATGTTGAAAAATTTTTGGCATTTTATATTCGGCGTATTGAAATTTTAATTTTCCATCTCAATACTATTATTTATTCGCCTTTTTTGTAAAATAACTGATAATCATTTGAGAAGCGATGAAATCAAAAGTCTTTTAAGGGACTAGAAAGTTCTTCTGTTCTCCGAAATTATTGCCAAATTAGCTGATAACACCTTATCAATGAATATGAATAGTTCTCTTTGCGTTATGAGAGAACTTCCAACATTCTAATCACTTGCAAACTAATTTCCAAC